TGCGTGTGTGTGTGTGTGTGTGTGTGTGTGTGTGTGTGTGTGTGCGCGTGTGTGTCCACGCGCAAGTGCGCATTGATTTAATGAAATTAAAAAGACTAGTAGATCTCGAAAAAAACACACAAAACCGGAGCTTTCCAAAATCTCACTCCCCACAAACCAACACCTACAGGTACTACCAGATTTCCAAAACCTCACTCCCACAAACCAACATACTAATAGTAATACCCGCTAATAATAATGATAGTAATAATAAAATCTCGTCAGCCAATGTCTGACGATGACCAATACATCTGCAGAGGACAATATTTCTCCAGCGAAATATAAGAATTTGTCACGGTTAAGATGACTTGTGGCTTCTGCTGTGGCCGACAAGACCAATCCTGGCAGAGAAAAGTTGGCCACAAGTAAAGGTTTCACTTCCACTAGCAGGCTTCTCCCTTGGTTTCAGCATTTTCTTGTTCGTGAAGCCTCGTATGATTTGCTGTCCACTATGAAAGCTGCTCTCCAGCTGGGTCTGTCAGGAGCAAAGCTCTCCCATGTCGAAGGGTTTATTTTTTAAAAAGATGAAATAGTATAGGTTTAACGCCCCTATCAACACTATTAGGTTATTTAAGAGGCGGGGCCTCCGAGTTTAACGTCCGTCTCCGAAAGGACCGAGCCAAGCGGGAAATTCGTGTAAAGAGTCTTTCCCAAGGACACAAAGTCGGACTGAGCTGAGGCTCGAACCCCCGAACCCGGAAGGGTTTATGTTGAAGTCCTTTCGAGACATTCTCGGGGTGGGTGTCCTTGTAGCGGTCAACATACTAGACTAACTCCTTTCCGAAAATCTCACTCTCCACAAACCAAGACGTGCTGACTGAATTCTTCGCCCACCGGGAACGTCTGCGTACATTTGAGACACCACATCAGCTTGTGCACGTTTCTGAGGTGACGCTTTAGGTGGTGCTTATGCAGGAACGTGTTGTCGCAGATCGGACACACGAAGGTACGGCCCGTGTGCGTCA